TGGTTAATGGGACAGAAATTACTACCAAGAAGCTAGAAGGTTACATAGTCAAGGTTGGTTAATGGGACAGAAATTACTACCAAGAAGCTAGAGAAGTTCAAAAATGAAGTTGAACACAAGAACTTTATTAGATTGTTAAAGTGCATCACTCGAGTAGAAGAGAGAATACTAACTTATGAGTACACTAACATAATGCTTACTTCTAGTTAGTGGATTTTTTAATGTTGATCATTGAACAGATCACACAAGCGCCACGCATGGACCCAAGATTGTAACCTTCAACTAAACACTTGATTCCTCGCCTACTACCAGTGTGAATGATAAATTATGCCTATGACACTGAGAATTGTAGACCCAGCTCTGCTTATAATATTAACTATTTGAGGCTACTAGCAAGACACTATCTAGGCTTCATTGAACATTACACAACCTCGTCACTTCACCTTTTTATAAGAGTATATATGTAACTTTGCCCTCCAATCTAGCAAGTATAAACATTAAAAAAAGTGACAAGCATCTATTCTTCAAGTAATAATTTACCTCGTCTCAATGTAAACAAACTTATCCCGGAAACATTTCATGTAATGATGTATAATTTCATACAGTGGTCAAAGTTTAAGCACCATGTTAGTAGCTATCAAAATATTCCAATCATTGATACAGGTAACTAACAGCAGTCATCTAATAACCATTCTGACTTAAGTATAAATTATGAACCACAGCAAGATTACCAAATAATAATGATCGTTAATCATTAGCATAATTCCATACACAGTTTCTATATACTGATTACCAATGTAGAATGATATATATCAGAAAATTATTCACTCCGAAACTGAACTGCAGATGTAGGAATGTTTAATGCCACCAAACCAGTACTGCAACTCTTTACAAGTCAACTATAGCCCTTTCCAAGACAATTCAGGCAGCGCTGGACCCTACAATACCATGAGAAAGAATCCAAAACTATCAGAATTATCTCACAAAGAAGGCATTTAAAGAAAAATATATAATCTTTTGCAGTTGAAGTGGTTCCTTCAAACAAAGCATTTAAGAAAAACTGAAAAACAAAACTCAAAAACCAAAGAATAAAAGGGATGGTGAGTTGATAACCAACCTGTTTCCTTCACATGTAGGGCAAACGCAAGGGTTTATATCAATGGGATCATACAAAGGTGACCACTTTATAGTAGCATTCCCCTGGCATAGCTTGCATATGTAAAACCCTTTCCCCTTACAAACCCCACAAGGCAATGCAAACTTTTTCTACAAAAAATTAAAAGAAAAACCAATCACATTATCATTGCTAATTTATATTAAAAGAATAAACAAGAAAGAAAGAAAAAACAAAAACCAAAAAAAAGGGAAAGTCCCAGCCAACCGGCGCCCACAGCACCATTATGGAGGAGTATTGTTGGTTGTAGATTTTTCCCCTCCCCGAAAAATTCTCCTGTTAAAAAAATAGAAAAAGAAAAGGAAAGCTCTCTTGCAGGGTTTTACCCGTTTCTCTTCAACAACATAGCGAAATACAGCAACAGCAGCAGAGGCAGCAACATTGACAGTGACAAATCCTCCTAAAGTGACGGCGGCGCCTTTACGCAATGCTTGGAGTGACTTCGGGACCATCTTTTGTTTTCTCTTTCTGTAAGTGCTTTAGCTTCTCAGTTCTCACAGGAATTTCCCCAAACAACTGCAGTGCATTCTCAAACCGCCTGCTTCTATAGAGAAAAATCACGATTTTGATTCTACGACTCTCAGCTAAATGCACCCTTCTGGCATCTATCTGCCGAAATCACTTCGAGTCTTCTAGTTGAGTACAACCAAATTGTTTCTTCCAATCTTATTTTCAGGAGAACTAATGGCCCGTACAAGGCGAACTCTTTGCCTTCACTTTTTTTTGGTTGAGTCAGCTAGACAGGATTCAGATGAAATGAATCATCTCCTATGACGCAATTTGCTTCGACATGCAACGCCCGCCGACCATGGAATCCCCCTGTTAGACAGTGGGTGGACAGTGAATTAGAGATGATGGCAGAAAATCCAAACCCAGAATGGGTGGCAGTGTGGGCACCGGGGAATTAGGCGTCCACTTTCATTTTGGGTGGGCCTGGAAGTTAGAAACGACCCAGCCTAATCTTGATTTGCACAACACTCCACATGCTCGACTCCAACCCATCTAATAGACTAACAACATTTCTAATCTAAACCTATGAAGAGATTGTTGTTTTGCAGTGTATCTTGTATACGAACGGCATATTTTATAATTATTAATAAAGAATAAATCACCTCAATATCAAGGGATTTATGTTTTATCAATGATTATAAAATGTGCAATATACACATAATAAATTGTATATCACTTTTTTTGTATATGTAAAACATGAATCTAGTAGGCAACCTCAGTTATAAATTATTAAATTTAGGTTCTATTTGGTTTGACACTAAGTATTGACAACCACTTAAAATTTCAAATTAAGAAAACTTAAGTTTAATGATCAAAATATGGAGTTATCACCTACCCAAATAATGGTGGGGTAGGTTATTATGGTTTACAAGAGATTCGAGTTTGGAAATTCAGATTAGAAGTGAGAAAATGCATATATGTAATGCACCAGAAGTTTTAATTTCATTTATTTTTCATTTATATTTTTTTTATTTTTTGCAAAGGTTTTCGAAATTTTGGGTTAAAATTGATTTATTTTAAGAATTTTTGAAAGAATATTTTTGAGTTGGAAAATGATTCAGATACAACCTTTTAATATTATCTTTTGGTATAATTTTATGTATCATTTAAATGATTGATTTTTTTTTTTTCATTTGAGATCTATAATATTAAATATATTCACTCATTTAATGATATATATAATATTAAATATATTCACTCATTTAATGATATATAAAAGTTCTGTAAAAAATATTTCCTATATCACTTCCCTTTTGAGTTTTAAAATGTTTGACCTTAACCTAGTCAATGTTTGACTAAGGGTCAAAGCCAAATTGTGTTAGTTAATTTTATTCATTATGTGATAATCAAAACAATAAAATGAAATGGATTTTTTTTTTTTTTTTGAAGTGGAATGGATTTGAATGGCCCGCTCTGGTCCAGTAGCATTGGACCCTGGGTTAAGGTCATTTACCTTCTTTGGATTGCGTATTTGAGTCCCATGGAACCTCATTCCCTCAATTAATATGTAAATAATTGCAATATATTAAAAAAAAAAAAAGTGGAATGGATTTGAAAATGATTGGGTTATGATCCATGTGAAAAGGAAAGGGGTCCAATATTGAAAGAAAGCATGGAATTTGGGTTGGGCCAAACTATGGCCCAATCGAACTAATCGAACTAATCGAACATTCTTAGAGTTTTGTTTTTTTTTTTTTTTTTTTTTTTTTTTTTTTTTTTCCACATTCCTAGAGTTCTCTACCGAAGAAGAATGAATGTAAAAATAAGAAGGCAAACCCCAAAGAAGGCCTATTGGCCTAGTGGCCCAGCAGTT